CCCCCGATGTGTCGGTCGGCAGCCGGGGGTCCTGCGTTTGGCAAACGCAGGACCCCCGCGATCCCCAGGGTCGACACATGCGGTTGCTGCCCATAGTGTGAGGTAGAGATAGGTCTGCCGTCGGCATGTGGCGTGGAATTGCTTTTGTATTTTGTTTTTTTCCATCTCGTGATGTGGGAGATAGAGATAGGTGTCATTGATGCATTCCTCATTCTTTTTCTTTTTGATATCTCCTCCAGCGAAAGGTCGTAGGTGTCCTGAAGATGCGGATAAGAGGTACAACAACAGGTCAAAACTGTACTGCGACAAGCTGTGGGCTCTCGACTGGGTCGGAGTGACCGGCGAGCCCGGGTGCGGTGCTGCTGTATTCTTGATGGAGGACGAAGGGACGACCTGGTATTGTTGTGGCGGCATCATCAGGTCTAAAGTTGACAAGGCCACGACGGACAAGGGTAAGGTCGACGACCGAGATTTGAGGAAATTCTTCCTCACTTCGGTGTACGATGAGCAGGGTACATAGTAACCGACAAATTTAGGCAAAATACAAGATCTACGTGACCAAATTTTCCAACTCTGGCGAGCCACACGCGAATGCTTTTTCAACAGACAAGCATCTACAAATGGACCTTTCCATATAGATCGGGTCAAGACTGACCACAAGGTCAGCCTTGACATTGCTCTGTTCAAGGGGTATGGTGAGAAGGCATTCGGTATGAAAGCCTTCAGCAGCAAGCGGGACGGGAATGCTTCGAGGATGCTCTTACCCATTGAATTCCTCACCAAGACCAATGGGTATAGAGGAAGTGGCCAATATTCGACGGTCTCCCCTGGTTACCAGCTCTCATTGCCTCTTGTGCCGTTCGACGCTCCAGGAGAAAGTCGCGCAGGCTTGTCAGCGTGCTTCAGCGATCAGCGGCAGGATGTCTCGACTCCACAACCATCGGTGTCCGCGAAGGAGAAACTCATTACTTACCAGAGGCGTCCGAGCAGTGGGTCATCGGGAAACGTTCCGAAGAAGAAGGTGGTCGACAAACCACCTTCCACTCTTCCGGGAAGCTCGCGTTCCGGTAGAAGCTCGCGCTCGCAGGACACCTCCGAACGTCGAATGGACGAGGAGTCAAGCGAGAAGACGGAGGACGATGAATGGATTCGCCGATTGCAATCCCAGTCACTAGCCACACGAAGGTTCACCCAAGGCGAAGGCTCTTGCGATGTGAATGCAGAGCGGGAGGATAGTAGAGGTGACGAAGCCCGGGCGAGGGGCGATGGAGAAGACGATGAGAATGAAGGAGAATGTGGTGGTGGGCAGGACCACATGGATTGCGAAAAGGCAGCGGCAAGCGGCGGGGTGCTCGGTGGTAATGTGGGKGGTTCGGAGATGGAAGACCAGGAGATGGAAGATGAGGAAATGGAAGACGAAGGAATGAAAGACGAAGGACAGGATGTCGATATTTCCGCGGAGCTTACATCGAAGGGGAGGGGAGAACGCACAGCGGAATCGTCGCCGAAGCTAGCCGCGCCTAAGAAGCAGGCTCGAAGAAAAGCTGTGCAGGACGCTCGGCTCGCCTTGGATGCAGCTGCTGGTACGCCTGGTGAAGCCGGTGTGGAATCCAAATCCAAAGCTCGGGTTCGCAAAACGTTGCAACCCAGGAAGCCTGTGCGGCCGTCAAGGCACCCGAAATCGGATGACTCGAGCGACGATGCTGAAGGGGTGGCCCCTCGTTTGCTCTCCATCCCTGACGACCACGAACCGGAGACGAAAAAACCCAAAGCGGTGAACATGACGCAGTGCTTCTTCGTCGAGTACGACGAGGACGGCAAAAAGAGAAAGGACCCGCCTAGGGTGGTCATTGACGTCATGCAGATTCTTCCGATTCCGGTGGGAGAGATCACCTTCAACCAGCGAGCGCTGAACCAGGCCATCGTCGCAGGCATCGAAGCGGCAATTGAAGCATCAACTCGCCCACAGTCCGTGGATGATCCGGCTCCGTGGGATCCACCGGAGTTGGTGCTGGCTCCGATTAATCCATCAAAGGACGCGGACGAACATGGAACCCGCGTCCTTCCAGAGGATTTCGACCCCGAACGGGCAGATGAGTTTTTCTATTACCCGGTTGCCGGTCAACATTCTTCCGAAGCTATGAA